CGCTCTTCCTCGCCTCTTCTAGCGAAATCCCTTGAAACCCAGTTTTCTTCTGGATAAGATTCAAAAGATTTATACTTGAGATGATGAAGGCCATTGTTAAGTAACTGGGTTCGTAGACTTGGATCAGTACAATCAATTTCTTCAACCAAAACACAACTCAAGAAGCAAGAAAAGAGGAGAGGGGACAGCCCATTGATCACAAATTTTCTCTTCAGTACATTCTAACGCATCGGAAAAGTTTGGATTTTTACTCTCTGATGGGAAACGCCTTTGTTCAAAAAGCAGAGGAAAGAGAAAACCCTCCATTGAACGCATACTAATGACCAAAATATTGAAATTGACCTGCGGAAACAGAGAAGAAGAGGAAGAGAGCTTGGGGGAAGGGTTAGAACTTGAAGCAGCAGTCTTGGCGAAGAAAGAAGAGAAAGAGGCCCCAGAGATCGCACCAGAAGCCGCCATTTCTCTTCTTCTCTGTTTCTCTCTGCGTTGAAATCGGACGAAGCTTTTAAGGGAAATATAAGGGGAGAAGCATCGCTTGTGTTTTATGGAAGAAGAAGCATTTCCGTGGACAGGAAAGCGGAAGCAGATAACATTTTTGTGGTCTTTTGTTAATTGTATTGGTTGCGTGACCAAGCGACACGTGCCATACACGATCTTATGCTAATCCTCCTCTTGCCCCTTGAGAGAATACAATTATACAGATACTAAATGATATTCAAGTTCCAATGCACCAAATTATAATTTGAGAGACCATCAACAAGTGGTCCTTGGAGGCTGGAGGAGGAGAAGGCCTGGTTCTGCCCCACGAGTCTGGAGGACTCGGACAAGACTCACCCTATGCATGAACGAATGCCATGCTTGCCCACTGTTCTCATGCCTGTCTACATTTACAAGAACATGATAACGCCACATCACAACAACATCAATATCGCCTTAATCCCAAGTTTAATGATAATGCCGCATGATTAAAAAAAAACAAAAACAAAAGGGTTGTGCCAACTTTTATCATTTACAGGTTATAAAGTATGCGGCAAGAACAATCAAGAATTGTTAAAGTTGTCTTGAATGGATGTTCCAAACATCAAATGACAAGACCACTTGAAAAACTAATGCTAAGGCTAACCAAACATACATAGCTTCTCGAGGAAATATACAATCAACCCCCTACATGACATGATCTTTCTTTAGCTCTTTCCTACTTCCCCTTCTGTACCCGTAATCCTTCTCTACGTAAGTCTCTTCTTCCTACAAACTAACTGGTGCTCTAAAAACCGAATAGGGAAGAGAAATTCGACCATGGTTGTACCTGCAAGTGAGCTACACAATGCACCTCCTTATGATTGATCTCTTCTTCTCTCACCTACTCGGCATGAACGTCTTCCCTGCTGGTTTTGATGGTGGCCTATTTATCTTCTCAAGTAATCTACTGAATACTAACTTAACGGGTATGCAGGCCACTGTAGGTGGCACTCGCCTGTTAGAGAGATTGTGCATCTGTGAGTTACTACCGCTGTCACGTGGTGGCTTCATCCCGTGCCTTTGTTCGCTGCCAAATGACGAGAGTGCCCTTGTCTTTTGAATGGATGATGCACTTGTTTTCTTTGTCTGATTCTTCTGCTGCTGCTGCCTTCTCTCTGTAGGTGGCCGTGGAATCCGCACTACACTTCTCCTAACCGAGTTAGTATCATTGCTGAAGTTTCCCAGGCTGGATTTCTTAACCAGCTGTTTTCTTCCCTGATCCGCCAAAGAACGGTCGTCCTTTGCACCGTCGTCGATTTCCAGTGATGAGAATGGATGCAGCCGTGGAACTCGTGAATTACTCCTTCTGGCTGTCTTCCATGCAGGGGGAAGTACAAAGGGTTTGCCATGATATGTTGTTTCATTACCATAGGAAACAGTGGTATGAAGATATGTCTCGGATGAACCATCTACTAAGACTTCGATTCCAATAGGATGCCCTATTATCGCCCTTCCATCTAATTTGCTCATGAGGGAGACAATGGGGACAGGCCCCTTCTGATAGCACCCTTGCACTTCTAGCTCCACATCTATCAACGGTGAACGCATTTTCCCACCAAACTGATGAGAGGCACCAAACTCCGGCCTGAAACCATCGGGTTTTACCTCCCAGAGCCTTTTTGTACCAATCGGGCCATCCCAGGGATCATCATCCCAGTCAAGCATGTCACGGCTTAATATGTTCCTGGATCTAGATGCAATCCTCTTTGAAGGCAGATAACCCTCGTCAGATAGTTCAATCATTTTGGCCCCAAACCCCCTTTCATAGTGATCGGTGTCATCGGTTCCATCACTCATATCATGTGCCCCATTAGAATCCAAACCATATCCGAGTGGCTTTTGGCCAAAAGCGGTTTTCTTGAATTCTCGAAATGTCCCATGTTCGGTCTTACCTGAAGACCTTCTTGGAAGATTTCGGATGTTTCTTTTACCTTTGAGTTGCCATTTGGAAACAGCTTCATAGCCAAAATCAGGATCGTGAGGATAAAGGTAAGAAGAGTCACCCGAAAAAGATGAATCATCGTGATCCTCATTGCTTGTGCTTTCATCTTCTGCAGCCATATGTCTACTTAAAACATGTTGGCTGCGTTCTGAGTGACGCCCAGCTCCTGGAAGGAGAAAATTTGAATTCTAGTTAGAGAATAATTGGCAACTACATGGCCCACAGGGCACAGTGGTCTAAATAAAATACAAACAGAATGTATCCTCCTCTGTCTCACCTGAGATAATGGGTATATCATCATCCGTATCCTCCTCTGTCTCAGAAGAATCAGTGTCCGGTTCAGGTGATTCAGATCCGATGTCTTCTAAAAATTCAGGGGGGTCCTCTACTGAAAACGGCTGATGAGAATCACCACCAGCAAATGAGGAATGCACCATCTCCCTCTGGCTTAGTACACTCTCCTGTAAGTCTAAAGCATCATTAGACTCAGTTGGTGCAAACATATATCTGGGCCTTTTGCTCTGGAATGTACTTCCGATGTGCTCCTTTTCTGAACAGAAAAGATTTTAATTGAGATGAGGGAGGAGAGATTTTAATTGTAAACTAATCCAAAATGTTTTAAGATGACTAATATCATCTCCATCCTACAATTATACTCAAAGTTTCCGAGACTTTTTATAAAGTATCTTACCAAGAGCATAATTGGACCTCTCCATGCTATGGTCTCCACTGGAAGATGCTGGAGAGTTACCGCTGGCCACAGGCTTTGAGGAAGTATAAGGACCATTAGAACACGGTAACTTTCGCTTTGAAGAGGCAGTTCTAAGCCCAAAGTCTTGCAAGCCTCTCATCCGAGGAGCAGTTTCAATATGATCACCTTCACAACCTGGCAAATCTTTCTCTTTCTCTTTTTGCGAATGGAGACCATCACCAACATGGTTCGATCTTAAACATCTAGGGGATTCTTGTTTTCCGTTACAGATGTCTTGATCCCGAGAGACAATTAACCTCTCTTTGGTTGCATCAGGAGACTTATTTCTAACCTTTTCAGGAATTGATTTTCCTTCATTTTTCAGCATTTCCTTCTCGAGTTCAAGAGCATGGAGAATAGCATCTTCTCGTCGAGCATATTTCTCTCTTTTTCTTATTGGCAACCCCTGCGCAGATTCCACCCTCTCAATGCACTCATCAAAATCACCACACCGAAATGCTTTGACGCGCTTGGACTTCTCTAAATTGTACCAATCCCTACAAAGTATTTAAAAAAAATTATTACATATCAACAAGAAACAAGAAAAGGATTACATCTGAAAACAGAGATGCAGCTTTACCAGCAAGAAACACTGATCATGTTTTAATAGGATAATGGAACAAGTACCTATCCACCCAACTAATGCAAACAGATAATCTCATCCAAAATGACCATCACTTGTCTGAACCAGAATTCTGTAATCGAGAAAATAGAAGATAATGTCGCAAGAACAGAATAATTAATTTTGTTCCCACTACGCTATCCCTTCAACTTCCATAGGCTAGCAACTTCAACCAACTGTAACAAATTATCAATGTGTTGTGGGACAGGAAAATTGTCATAAAAAGCAGATATCCTAACATCAAGGTAACATGTAACATAGGCTAGCTCTTCAAAGGTACACAACCTTAGCATTACATTCAAGATATTATTAGTACCTACACAAAGTATCCAAGTTCATCTTATTCTCACCCACACCGACAAAATCTGCACTTGATTGACAAAACGAGTAAGATAGAGACCAACTAGAAGGAAGATCCTCAAAGTAGCCAACGAATGCTGCAGACGAATCAGTCCAATCAATCCTCAGTCAAAAAGGGGTTTCTCTATCATCAAGCCTTACAACAATCTATGAAACTTAAGCTACAATAGCTACAGTAAAAACAGAACTTCAAGAACCACGAGAGAAGACTTTGAATCTCTATGCAAAAACTAAGCATTTGGAAGGTAAGGATTGTCCAGAAAACTGAAAACAACATGCTTTATCATTTATACTAAGTCAGGTACTATGGGCCAGATTTCCATCTCCTTCCAACTTGGTTAAGGAATGAAGAAAAACACCATAATACATCAGAGACCACTGAATTCCTGATTCCAAACATATGTCATCTGACTCATATCTCACCCAAAACATTACAACACTTAAACCCATTTAAAACTGGCATAGGCATTAGGCAGGAGCAATGTGCTTGTGGCAATATCTTAAAGAAACCCAAAAGTCCAGATTTTTGAAAAACAACCGACGCCATTGATACTTCAACCCAAAACTGAATCGAAATCGAACGGTCACATGAACAAACAGGAGGAGAAGCAGAAAAGGGAGACTTACACACTTGCATCCTCTCTCCCAAGGAGCTTCACCGGCGTCCCGGATCTCGGCGACGTGAGATGAGTAGCGTCAAGCTCTTCTGGGCCCAGAATCTTCCCCGGCCACCACGATCCGTTCCTCCTCCTCACCCATACGATCGACCCGACCGTACAATCCGAGGGACCTGATCCTGGACTACCCATCTCTCTCTCTCAATGGTCAAGATCACTTTTTCCTTAAGATTTCTATTACGCTTTTATGATCAACACGGCACAGAAATCTAGCATTCTCCACGGAAGCAATCACTTCTTCGTTCGTGTGTTGATCTGACGGAAAAACAGCTCACCCTCCGGAGAAGAAAGGCGCGTCCCGGCGGATCCAAGACCAACAGAAGCGGAGGGATCGGTAACAAGTCAATCCAACGAGGGTTAAGGTTCCCATTCAGATTCGAGAAACTCCCATATTCTAGGGTTTTCAACAGATTGAAAGGTCTGGTTGTTCGTCTTCTTCAGCGAGATTCTCTCTAAAACGCCTTCGCCTACCCCTCTCTCTCTCCACCGTCTCTCTCGGTTTCTCTCTCTCTCCACCGGATGGACAGAGCGGCGCATTGATTTTACACGCGCGACAGCTCACGCGCCTTAAGAAACGCGTGTCCTTTTGTTCTCCCCGTTTTAGAGGTTCTATGTAGAGCCCATTGGGCTCAACAAACTAAAAAGTCCATTAAATATATTTTTGGGCCTCCTCAGAATCTTCGTTTTTATGTTTACACATTATTTTAAAAAGGAAAAAAAAAACAATTTCCTTATATTTTAGAAAACTCCTTAAATCCTTTTCTGCAAATTCAAATTTCAAACCTTTGCTCCAACGGTCATTTCCTCTAGGGTTTCGCCTCAGCTCGGGCGCGTGTGTATATATACCCGTGTCTTCAGAGCTACGATCGGTAGTAGCAGAAACATCTTGTTTTCTCTCAATTTCTCTCCATCCAAACGGAATCATCAGAAACTTCCTGTTTCTCTTTCCATTTCCCGAGATGGATTTCGACAGCCTCCCGAGAAGAGATCTCCAATCTCTCTGCAAGAAGAACAAAATTCCCGCCAACATGACCAATATCGCCATGGCCGACGCTCTCAAAGCTCTCGAGATTGTAAGTCATCTCTCTCTCTCTCTCTCTTTCGAGATTTGTTATGTTTTTGGAGGAATTGGATGATTATTCCTGGTTATGGATCTTCTATCTTCGATAGTAGTATTCAATGGTTACGTTATGATCTTTTTGGATTCTCTCGATTTATTAGGTTTTTGTAGGAATTGGATGACTTATTCTCGTTTATGTATCTTCTATCTTCGATAGTAGTATGGAATGGTTACGTTTCTAATGTTTCTGGAGTGTGTAAGTTTCTGGATTGTGAATGATTTCATTTCTGCAATTTCTTTCATTTCTGCTAAAGAACTGCCATGTAAGTTCATGAAATGTGTGACACCAAATTTCTCTGATTCTGCGGAGGATCCGTGTTTGATTATCTGAATCTGAAAGGTTCTGGTCGATCCGCCTTGAGATCTTGTCATCGATGCAAGAGAGGAATGCCTTTTTTCTCTCAAATTCTGTCTGGGATCTCAACATTTCTTGGTCATTGCTGGTAGATACGTTTGTGTTTGTTTAGTAGATCTGCTCCATGGTTCTTGATAGTTGTTTTTCTTGTGTATTTGCTCCTAGTATAGTTGCATGAAATGCGTTTAACTTGGAAGATTTCTCTTGATTTTCTGCATGTACATGTAGTGAATTGCCACTGCATATACATATATATATATATATATATATATATATATATATATATATATGTAAAGTCGAGCTAGAGTCAAAGTGCCGTACGAGTTTGGTTTTATGGCATCGCTTAGCTCCTTGTTTTTGGTTGATAGATACTTTTGCCTCTTAACATCTAGATTCCAACTGTTTTGCTATTTCCTGTCTCGCATGTTTCTCAAAATTATCAGTTCCTTCTGTAGAACAAACGGTGCTAACTTCTTTCTGATACAAATCAATAGGTTGAAGGACTCGAAGAGCTCCTGAACCAAACCGAATCCACTGCTCCCCCGTCTCCAACTACTGTGGTAAAGGAGCTGCCAACTACTGCTCGTACTGCAATTAGAACATCTCGGAGGACCAATACGAAAGACGCAACCCAAACTTCACAGTGGGAGACTCGTTCTTGTCAAGTGACAAGAAAGTCTCTTGCTGGAGAAATGGATCAAGAGAACAAAAACATGAATGTGCTGCAGAGTTCAGCAGTACCAGCCAGCCGAAGAAGGGCAGCTACCTCAGTTGCTCAGAATTCTGAGAGTAATGATGGGGAAACTCAAAATGAGGCCAAATTTGAGGCCAATGTGCCCAAAACTCCAGCTGCACGAAGCACTAGAAGGAAGGCTCCGCTACCAGCATCTTCAAGAAGCAAGGCACCGGAGACTACAGCAGGTTTACAGCACAAGGAGGTCAGTCAGGTTGTTGGAGAAATCCATGGCTGATTTGAGTTTAAAACCTAAAGGAGACCTGGATGAAAAGGACAAGGCTGCACAAGAGAAGGATCTGGCGGGTAATGCCACCTCATTCTTACTTCTTAGTTCTTAGTTCTTATAATAGATGAAGTTGAAAGAACTCAATTGCTTGCATTATTTTAGCAATCTATAATGGGTTAATCAGGGCCTGTGGTATATGCAGGTCCTGGGTTTCAGGGAAAATTAGATGATAATTCGGAAAGGGCAGAACAGACTGAAGTTATCCCAGGAAGAGATCTAAGTGCTACCCTGGAGAAAGAATGGGATATGAGAAATGAAGCTCTAGAGCATGACAATGGCAGTGGTGACCCTGAGGCTGATCCGGAGATTGTAGAATCTGAAGCAAACATTGATCTTGGTGATGTTTCTGTCTCGGATGCAAAATCTGAGATCTGCAAGGAGAAGATGAATGAAGTTGAAATTTTCAAGGGATGTGACACAGAGGAAACCGGAGCTGAAGGAAAAGGTGAGGGAGGTTACTACAATTAACATTGTTTGGTTGACTCAAAAGCGTAAAAATATCTTGTAAAGAATTTCCAAATGTTGAGGTGATCTTTTGCAGGATCCGAGGTTATGCAAGATTTAGATTGTTCTCTACAAGTTACAGACAAAGAACTGTCGCAGGCTGGAGCTGCTCTGTCTCCTGGCGGCGAAAAGACCATTCATGATGATAATTCTGAAGTGTGGTCAGGCCATGCTGCTTCGGCCACAAGCCCTGTGGCCGCTGGAGATATTATGGATTCTGAATTCGAAAAAGAACCTGTCGAACCTGAGCAAATCAACGCAAAAGATGATGATGAAGATGATGACCAGACGATTGATGAAGCCCTAAAAGAGGATACTCTGATCAATGAAGATGCTGCTCTCAGTATGAACACTGACCATGTCTCAGCTCATCATCCCTTGCAAGACAGCAACACTGACAGTGATGATTCAGAATCTGAGTTTGAGGAAACCGAGGACACAGAAGAAGAAGAAGAAGGTTCTGAAGTGGAATCAACTGAGGCCGTTAATGATGCAAGTCTGGAAGTTGATAATGTGGAGATGGACAGCAGTAGTGAATCATCGGAATCCGATCCAGAGGAAGATAGCACCATCTCTGATGCAGATTCAAACACCGCGGTTTTCGGGTCTGACGCTTCCAATTCAGAATCGGAAGAATATGAAAACAACGTCGACGGCAACAAGAAGAAGACTCCAACGCCAGAGGGTAAAGGCAAAACACCAATGTCTCCACCATTCGCAGCAGAATCAATCTCAGGCCAGTTCCCAAGGCCGACACTCTCGACAACTCCGGCGAGCGAGAAGAAACAGCCAATCATCCTCGCTGACGTGGACAAGGAGAACACGGAGAGTTACAAAGCAGAGATGCCTAAGAAGAATGCGTTTGATGAAGAGGGATTGAGAAAGGAGAGCCTAAGGCAACTGACGAAGATGGTAAAGGATCTCGTGATAAAGACCAACAACAACAACAACAACAACAACAGAACGGCGTTACAGTCACTCCCGGACAATCAGATTAACTGAATTCCTTACATCAACATCAACTGCTTCTTCTTCTTCAGTTCAAATTTCAATGGTAATAATAATGTCCGTTGAGAATCTCTTTTTTCCTTGATACTTTTCCAGATGGTTTCTATGTCATCATAATAATAACAATAAAAGACGATTCTTGTTCTGTTTTTATGGTCTGAGTAAAGCAAAAATGCCATCAATATTATCGTTGCCATTTGCCGGTGATTAAAAAAAATCAATGGAGAATTCTTTTTTCTGGCCCCGTTAAATATAATCGGGTTGGGTCGGGCCGGGGATATATAGTAACATGAGGAACACATTTATTCTTCATCGAGTATCATTTTTGGCGCCTGAGATTTAGGGTTCTTCGTGACGGAGTGCAGAAATTTTGCTCCTTGTTCTTTAGCCCAGATGGAGAAGCCATCGGATGCAACTTCCAATAGCTCGCCCTCCCTTCCTCCCAAAGACGACGGAGAACAACCTCCCGTTGATACCGCTGTCGTTCCTGATGTCGTCGATCATGAGTATGTCGTATCCTTCTTCCTCGAAATCCATAGTCGGATCTGGTTTATCTTCGCTCGCTGTTGATGTCTCTCGAATTTCCGCTTTTCTTCGCGCGTTTTCTTGCTCCACGTCCTCTGGGTTCTCATCTATCTTTGCTTAGAAGTGGTGTTTGGGGGGGGGGGGGGGG